CACCACCAGAGCCCCTAGAGGTCTCAATAAAACCCAGGTTTCTGGGCCACAATGACAGAGTTCCTGATTCAGTAGCTCAGTGGTGGAGCCTGACCATCTGTTTTATGAAGTTCCCAAGCACTCCCCTTTGAGAACCTTTAACTTAGAATTTCAAATATCCAGCTATCTCTCAAGCAAAGTTAAATGTTAGCATATTGGGATGGGCACAGGGCAGAGGACTCTTTTTTAGAAATACTCAGAATGATTAAAACATGCAATAATGTAGCCATAGTTGGAGCCCTGGTGGTGCAGTGGTTAAGTGCTCAACTGCGAACCAAAAGGTCAGTGATTTGAACCCACTATTCATTCTGTGGGAGAAAGTTGTTACAGTCTTCTTCCATAAGGATTACAGCCTTGGAAACCCTATAGAGCAGTTCTACCCCATCTTATAGGGGCCCTGTGAGTAGGAATCAACACAACTGCAACAGGTGAACCACAAATGATATCCCATACACTCATATTTGCTCCCTGGCATCAGGCCTGTTCAGTGGGAGGGAGGGACACCATATTTTTTCCTTGCACACAGGTGTTTTGGCTCCATTCTCTTACATGCTAGTGCAGTGCTTTACTTGCCCAGAGGAGGAACCTGTCTCTAACTTCCATAAACCTCTAAGGGGACTAATAAAACATCCTGAGACATCAACTGCTAAATGCAAGTCCACAGAACAACAGACTTTTCAGAAGCTATTACATTAAGAAGATTTAAAAAAAAAAAAAAAATTGGACAGATATCAACTGCATTCTAAAGTACAATATGCCGGAACATACTTAGATGACTTGGCTGATGTTAAGATTTACAAGCAATTGGACAAGGAGGTGTTTCCAACCATATTTAATAGGCCCCTGAGCAGAGCCATCAGTGCAGAAATGTGCTCTCTCCTACACACGGACTCCCACCATGGCTACTGAATCTCTGCTAGTGCTTATGCTTCACATGCCCCTGTTTATGACTAGGATTAAATTATAGTTTACTAATGCTCATTGAGATGGTTTCTGAAGCCTTTTTACTACCATCTATAAACTTCAATACCTTACTCTTTACTATATCGTTTTACTTAGTAGATATGTATTAACTCAATTCTCATAAGGAATACTGCCAGATATATATATATTTTTTTCCCTCATCATATTTATAAAACATTGATTTAGGGGAGGAAAAAAAAAAAGAAGAAGAAAACAAAAACCAGGCATTCCCTTTGGTAACTATTGCAAATAACACAGTTCTAATTATAAATATATATGAACTCATACATATTCTTAAATGAATTTCTACCACTCAAATATTTCCACTGAAGTGATGAATAAGAAGAAATCTAAAATGTGGGTTATGATAGGAAAACTTCTGGAGTTGAAGTTCTTTTAATAGAAGTTCCTATTGTCTCTGCTGAACAAATATGACTTTTTCTGATGATTTTTCACTTCCATCTTCCATTCCAGAGCATGTTTTCAAGAAGAACTGTACAGTATTTCCTGAAGAATATGCTCAACCATGTATATATACATATGTACACACACACACACATGTATATATCCATTCCATCAAGTATTTTTCAACTGATTTTTCCTGAGCACTTCTTATTTGACAGTCATAAATTATCCTTGACTGGCTTATGAGCATGCATTTCTACTCCTCACATTCTGCAGATGTGAAAACATGGAAAATCTGGATAGGATATTAAAGCTGGAATTTGACTAAAAATAGTTTGGGAACAAAGAATATCATAAGAGAGCACAAACCACAATGAGATACCATCTTACACAGGCTAGAAGGCTTACAATAAAAAAAGAGACATATTAGCAAATATTTGCTATGATGTAGAGAAATTGGAACTCTCACAGACTCCAAGGGGGAATGTAAATGTAGCCATTTTGGAAAATAGTCTGGCACTTTCTTGAGTTTCTACATGACCTAACACAGGTCCACACAGAAATTTGTACAACAAAGTTCACAGATGCAGTATTTACGATAGGCAGAACATGGAAACAACAAAAACGTCCATCAGATGATGAACCGATAAATAATATGTGGTAAGTATATAAAACGGAATATTATTCAGCAACACAAAGAAATTACGTACTGATACATATTACCACATAGTCGAACTTTTAAAATGGTACGCTAAGAAAGAAGCCAGTCACAAAGGACCACGTAGTATATGATTCAATTTATATGGACTGCCCAGAACAGACAAACCCACATTGACAGAAGGTCAATGACTGCCTAGGGCTGGGATGAAGTGGTGATGGAGAGTTAGAGGTGAGGATTATAAGGCACGGGGAGTGTTAACATTCTGTGAGTGTAGTTACAACGTTTAAAACTTGGTACTGGTGATGAAGACACAGTGCTGAGATAAAGGTATCTAATTGTACATTTCTAGTGGGTGAATTGTATTACAGTGAATTATATCTCAATAAAGCTATTTTTTTAAGTCCTAGACCTTCCTACAAACAGAAAAATTCCACGACATAACACTATTTTAGTGTTTTCAGTGTTCATATTTTAAAATATTTTTATGGTTCTCTCATTAATGTAGAAATTTTTCCTAAATGTTTATCGAAATTCTATATGTAATTCTAAATTGAGAGTAATTGGTCACCTGGCCTGATAAACATTGATGAGTTTACTGTCATGACCATAGATCCATTTTCCCATGCCTATATATATATATATATATTTTTTTTTTTTTTTCTAATTTCACTTGAACATGAATATCCTATTAATGACAAACCACATGATGGTTATATATCTCTTTGTGTGTGTATATGTTTATGTATATGTACATGTATATGTATGTGTGTGTGTGTGTATATATATATATATATATATGTAGACTTTGGTTGCATAGAGCCTAAGACATTTACCTGCTAACCAGAAGGCTGGTGGTTCAAACCCACCAGCCACTCCTCAGAAGATTGGGCAATTTACTTTGGTAGAGATACCACCTCAGAAACTCAAGGAGGGGTCACTGTGAGTGAAATCAACTTGACAGCCATTAGCTTTTTTTTTTT